GCACTTTATGTTAAAGGAGATTAGTAATATATAATGCAAAATTTGCTATTAATAAAAAAGGGGTAATTACAGGGTTTGGGGAGGAAATGTATTAAGTTTTATATAGGTTTAGGAGCCTAAAGTTAAAGACCTAAAGTTATAACATTGGCGTAATTAGTAAAAAAGGCTAATTAACTATATAATAAGGTATATAACTATTATGCCTAGAATATTAGTATACTATTAGTATAAACAGAGGTAAATAAAAAACTAGTATATAACTAACTAACTTTATATTTAAAAATAAATAAAGTAATATTAGTAAAAAAGTAATAATTTAAATTAGAAAAGATAAAGAATTATATTAATTAGTATTATCTTAAAAGGATAATATATATAAGGCTAAGAGTAGCTATAAAGAAAGCTTAGAAAGTAATACTAAAAGAGTTTTTTTAAGCCTAGCTTAGTATAATAAAGTAGTGTTATAAAGATATTATTATAGCTAATAAAATATATATAGAGTAGTAAAAAAGTAGGTCTAGATTAGCTAATTAAAATTAAGTATATTTACCTTTTTAATATAATTAGTATTAAATTATAGTATAGTTATAGTATATAGATTACTAAAGCTACTAAAAATAGCCCCTACTTATGCCTAATACTATAGTATTAGTATAGTCTAGTTACCTTAGTAGTTTAGGTAGGTCTTCCATATAAGTTAGGTAAGTACCTTAGTGCTTGGGGTTGGGAATGACTAGTCAAGGTTTTAGCGTATCTTACCTTGTACTTATGGAAGGATACAGCCCCAGAGTATCCGGGGGAAGGCCTCAAAGTCCGGAGACCGTCAGCTAAGGTAGGTCCCTTGAACTACCTAAATCCTCCATTCCCAGCGATGTTCAATGGGTCGCTCCGACTTCGGTGAAGAAGTCTCAGTGCGTCCGGCGAATAACGATCTTCAAAAAGTTGTATGCGTCAGCATTCAACTTCTGAATCGGGGACTTTTTGACATGTCTTCGACCCGGATGTTTAGATATCTACAAGACTTTATCATCTCATCTTTTCTCTAAAAAGCTTCGCTATTACATCACTGAGCTTGAGCATCAGCTCTTCCAAAAGCCTGTTGTTCATTCCTTTGAAGAGATTCATGACGAATAGACTTGCAGGAGTCAAATTACACACAGAGAATGGCTACAGACGTGCAAGGGAAGAAGATCATATTGAATGAGCCAGAACCCATCAAGACAAAGGGAAAGAAGACAAGTAACGTCGGTGGTGGAAGCGGTGCACATGATTACAAAGGCTTTGTAGCGGGTGTCTTCAGTGGCATCGCCAAGCTCTCAGGTATGTGTCCCTTATCAGGACGAGATGCAAATATTGACAGACTTTTCATAGTTGGTCATCCATTTGACACTATCAAAGTCCGTCTACAAACGACAGACCCAAGTCGCTTCAGTGGCCCTCTGCAGTGCGTCACACAGACTATTCGCAATGAGGGCTTTCGCGGGCTCTACAAGGGCGCAACGCCGCCTTTGGTCGGATGGATGTTTATGGACTCGGTCATGTTGGGCTCGCTCACCGTTTATCGCCGTCTTCTCTCAGAACATGTCTTCAACGTTGAGCCGCTAGGAACCGACGTTACGGCATCTTCACCAGGCACAGCCACCAAGGGTCACACGGCGCTACCTAGCTTCGGCCATGGTATCGCGGGAATATTAGCTGGCTCAACGGTGAGCTTCATTGCTGCACCAGTCGAGCACGTCAAGGCACGATTGCAGATCCAATACGCAGCGCAAAAGGCCGACAGATTATACGCCGGGCCAATTGATTGTCTGCGCAAGATCTACCGATACCATGGCATAAAGGGCGTATATCATGGCCTCTCAGCGACTCTTCTCTTTCGGGGATTCTTCTTCTGCTGGTGGGGCAGCTACGATATCTTATCTCGTCAACTACGTGAGAAGACAAACCTCAGCGCACCGGCTGTGAATTTCTGGGCGGGAGGCCTGAGTGCGCAGGTGTTTTGGTTGACTAGTTATCCGAGCGATGTAGTCAAGCAGCGCATCATGACAGATCCGCTGGGAGGTGGGCTAAACGATGGAGTCAGGAGATTTCCTCGTTGGAAGGACGCAGCAGTTGCTGTGTACAGGGAGGGAGGTTGGAAGGGATACTGGAGAGGGTTTGTTCCATGTTTTCTGAGGGCGTTTCCGGCGAATGCCATGGCCTTGGTTGCTTTTGAGGGTGTCATGAGATCGTTGCCATAAGGAAGCGCAAACGTGATAATAATGCCATGGCATGAAACAAACAAACATACATACATACATACATACATACATGCATACCCGACGGCATCATTTCAAGTCAGTCCACAGATTCGGCATGTACATCACTCGGGGTATCATTGGGAGGAGAGAAAGAATATGAACACCACAAAGAGTGCCACATAAAATGGCTGGGTCTATTGGCCGAGTCCTTGAAACTTTTTGTTATCCCCTGTCCCAATTCACCAACCCATTCCTGCGCCGATGCAATGCAAATTGATTCCTTTACTCGTCGTCCTCATCAGCCTCGTCGTTAACGACGTTGAAGAACTTGAGCTCGTAGACACCTCGGGAAGTAGAGACGACGCGGAGCCAGTCACGGAGCTGCTGCTTCTTGAGGAACTTCTTGGTCCTGCTCACAGTTAGCGTCTTGTCGATGTCATGTGCATCCCCATGCTTCGCTTGAGTCACGTACAGGTACTTGAGGTAGCGACCAGAGAGCTCGTTGTGGGCCGTGATCTCGATCTTGCCCTCACCGGACTGCTTGACAACAACGTTGTCGCCAAGGTTGTTGGTGCGGCCCTCGACCTTGATACGGTCCTGGAGGAACTTCTCGAAGGCGGAGACATCGAAGATCTTGTCGCTGGCAGGCTGAGAAGCATCGATAATATACTGGTAGGATCAGTTAGCGATTGTGTCCCTCGTGAGGCTATGCCGTGTAAAATCGTCGTCACAGTCGCAGTCGTCGTGATTGAGTCGAAATTCGATCTGGATCTGGATCTCGCGTACCTTCTTGGCCTGCTTCTGGGCCTTGCCCGACTTCTTCTGTTGAAAAATGACCTTAGCCTACTGCATTCTTATACGGCTCCTCTCCTTGATGCGATGTGACGCGGGAGAGGGCCTAACAGCATAGCGATGTCATGTACGTACTGCCTGAGGAGCCATTGCGAATGGAATGGAATGGAATGGATAGGTTTTTGTGTCTGAAAAGGGACTGTGGTGTTTTTTGTCGCAAAGAAGTCTAATCCTGCGCTTGAAGGGGAGAAAGAATCAATGTAAAACTCGAGCTCGGCCTCAGCTCCAAAAGGTAATTCTGTGTGCAAAATTAGGGCTCCTTCGGATTATTTTTGGTGCGGATGGGACTAACGTCATGTGACTGTCGTTGAGTTGAGTTGAGTTGAGTTGAGTTGAGTTGAGTACCTAGGTTCCATTGTTTCATGATTCATTGATTAGAATTGAGGTACGGAGTAACTTCATGAACAAAAATTGCACTCGGGCTGATTTGAATCAAATTGCCACGTTTAAAGTCTGTATCTTAAATTGCCGACCGCATAACTGATACCATAGTACTCATCAGCATGCCCAATCTATGACCCAACTATCTACACCTATAGTTCTATCATGACGTTTATACTTGTTTAACCAGCACAATTAACTTGCGAGACAGAGCAAGAACTTAAAAGGAATGTTTCTTTATACGTCTTTTTTTGCACGATAGCTTTAAAGCCAGTGAAAAACTGAAGCAGGATAGATATTACATTATGTACTGGACTATATTACTTAGGCTCAGATAAGTCATGGCTAAGGCATACACAGCCTATGATTGGCTGTGAAACCTCTGTAGTTAGACTACTATACCTATCTGACGACTGTCCCAACTCTTGTCAACCACAATCAAGTCCCCTTTCTTTTAAACAAGCAAACAAACAAACAGATCCAACCATACTCATAGCAGTGCAAAGGAAACCCTGCCTCTTCTCTTCTCTCCGCCATCACTGGCCTGGCTCCCTCCCTAGGCTCAGCCGGTCTTTTGGTTTTTGGCGTGAAGAATCGGATCGAGCAGCTCGGTGAACTTGTCAAGAAGCATGTGGCGATAGTTCATGTACATGAGGCTCAGTCGCTTGCGCTGTTCCTTTTCATCCCCTTTCATATGCTGCGATGCCATCTGGGTATCCTCCGGGAACTTATCGTTCTTGAGGATCGGGTCGAGGTCCTTGCGAATAGCCTCGACGAGCATGCCACGCCATTGCATGTAGAGCTGTTGGAGGCGCTTCAGCTGCTCAGCCTCGTCACCATCGGCAAGCAGAGAAGGACCGTCTTCTTCTTCGTGCGAATCCTTCTCTTCTTCCTTTTCGACCTCATTCTCTTTGCCTTTCTCCTTCTCTGCATTCGCGTCCGCGTCCTCGTCCTTGGCCTGTTCCTCGACTGGTCCAAAGTCCTCCTTGCAGCCCTTCTCACCGTCGCACTTGTAGACCCTGAACTCCTTGGTGATCATGTAAGCAGGCTTCTCTCCCTTCTCAATAGTGAGGGAGTGGTGACCTTTGCTCTTATCGTTCCCGAGATTCTTCTTGATCTGTTCTCCAACGCTTCCGTAGAGAGCGTCTTCGTACTTGTCAAGGTCGGACTTCTCAGCAGTCTCTTCTTTGGTAGCATCGGTCTTGTTGTCTTTCTTGTTGTCGTGAACCTTTTCGTCTTTGTGTTTGGCGGTTTTGTCCTGCTTCTCCTTCACTTGCTTCTCCTTCTCCTGCTTCTCTTTCTCCTGCTTCTCCTTCTTCTGCTTGTCATGCTCCCCGGCATCTTTGGTTTCTGAACGTGCCCTAAGGTTGTGGCTTGAAGCATGCTTCCCAAAATCCTCTTTGCGAAGAATTTCCTCATGGCTCAAGCCGTGTACCTCTTTCGCTGCCTTTTCCCACTGGGCAATCTCAAGCTCCTTCTTTTCCCGCTGGGCAGTCTTAAGCTCCTTCTTGGCGTCAAGCAACCATTTGTCTTGTATGCGTGCATAAAGATGAGCTCGATCGCTCACCGACTTAATATGGGTTAGAACAAGCCGCATCTCGTCAATGATCTCCTCTGCCTCAGCGCTAGACTCGACACTGACGCTTCTACGCATTCCACTTATGTTTTCGACCTGTGCCTCGTAATGCCGAAGCACTTTTCCCCAACTATGTGCCGCTTTCCACAAACTCGCACTTTGTCCCTCGAGATACCGCACTTCCATTTCTTTGTCTTTCAGAGACGAGCGTTTGATCTTCTTGGATTTGTGGCGACGGAGCAGCTTGGACATTCTAGTGGAGCCAAGTTCACGATGGAGAGAGTCCCAACCATCGTCGGACCTGTGTGCTTCGCCATTAGAAGCATGGGCCTGGTGGTGATGAGAGCCTTTAGTGGTGAAGGCAGGGTCGGCTGCAGCGGTTGAAGCTGGCCTGGTCATCGTAACAGTTGTGGTTGTTGTCGTCGCGCGTAGGTTAACAGTCGAAGAAGCCGCTGGAACAGAGGTGCTGCCACTCTCGACTTCGCCAGAAGAGGGTGTAGCAGAAGTGGTGAGAGTAGAAGTCGCAGTGACTACAGTTGGTGGTGGTGCTGATGTTGATGCTGAGGTGACAGGTCCAGCTGAGGCCGAGGCTGAGGCTGCCGAGGTAGCAGGCGCCTTGCTGCCACAGCAGCTGGGGTCACAGGAGCAGGTGTCACAGGAGCAGGCATCAGGCACAGCAACAGTGCCGTTGGCGTTGGCGTTGCCGTTGCTGGCGGTAGAGGCTGCAGCTCCAGGAGGGACGGTCCCTTGAGTGGGCAATTCAGCGATTACGCTGTCCAGTCTGGTAGAAGCAGATGCCCATGACCTATGGAAGCTCTTGTAGTGGTCCAGGGAGGGAGGACTTGCTGCTAATGGCCCAGCGAAGCCCACAAGAAGAATGAGATCAAGACGCATCTCCAAAGCAAAGATTAATCCGACAAGTTAGGTTGCTGACTTCGTGAACGTATCAGGTGGAAGGGCGGGCCAGACCCAAGGACAAGACCAGGCGCATCTTATATAGACTGGAAGGGGATTTTCTTTTCGACAAACTTCGACAGAGAGTTTTTGAATTAAAAGCCCCCTTTGCAGAGCGTCTGAAGCACTCCGCCACTGATTCTATTCCGCAGTGCTGAAATCAGCATCGTGATCCCCTCACTCAACTGGTGAGGGGTATAGTCGAACCACTTAAACATCTGCCAAACAAACCCAATCCCAATAATTCCCCGAGTGCGTCGCCAATACAGCCACAGAGTGACTATAGTAAGTCCACCCGGCCATATTGCAGCCAGGGTTCCCTCAATTCCACAAAGCCATTTGAAAACGAGGCAGCAGAAACAGCACTCCGATGACGGGCACATATCTCTTTCTCAAGTAAAATGAATCATAAATTGTCGTCAATCTATATGGCAATTATGGCGTGAGAAAACATGTCTGTCGTGCTTCCAAATAAATCATATCGTCATGTCAACAAACTCAAAACCCTCCCTTGTCGTCACATATATACGTAAAGAATAGCATCGCACTACGAAAACTGAAATGAAGACAATCTGTCCTTTCCCTCGTTCTTGGTTGTTCAAGACTTGCTAAACAGCTTCTTGAACGCACCTTTGATGCCTGATGGCTTCTTATCTTCCTCCCTCATTTGCGCTCTACGTCGTTCTTCGTGGCGTGCTTTGCGTCGAGAGTCCTCCGTGTCCATCCTGACGTGCTTGACAGGTCGAGTCTCCTGTTCTCTGTCTCTGTCCCTATCTCTCGTCTTACTCTTCTCCCTATTTCTCTCCCGTTCCCTGTCCCGGTCTCGAGTTGGCTCAGGGGCAGGCTCCTCACGAGGGCGCCGCGAGGACCGAGGACGGGGTTCATCGGTAGAAGGGCGAGTACGCCTATGACGTGTCGAGGGCCGTTTAGGCGAGTCCTCCAGCGGGGTCTCCCTCGTTCGTTCCCTGACAGGTTCGGCGATCACGGGCTCCTCACGTGGGGGTGTGGTACTGCCCAGGATACCCTCCGAGTTCTTGACGGCAAAGAACTTCTTTTCAGGCACGGGAGCGGGCGGGACGGGTTCGTCTCGGGGGCTCTCCCTGGGTACTTCATATCGAGGTCTCTCGGAATGGCTATGCCGACGCGAGCGGCGGTATCGTCGATCCGGCTCGGGCTCAGGCTGCGGCTGCGGCTGATGCTCTGATTCTGGTTCTGGTCCCTGTTCACGAACAGGCTCTTTACCCTTGCTCTCCTTTTCCTCTCGATATCCCGAGGGTTCACGCCTTGTGCTAGCTTCCTCTCGTGCTCGCCGTTCTGCCCTTTCTGCTTTGCGATTGTCGTGGGCAGCCTGTTCCTCAGGGGTTCGACGTCTGCGGCCAGAGCTTCCAGAACTATTGTCGGCAGAAAAGCCACTGTCGCGTCGTGGCGTTCTGGGTGGGGTGCCTGGAGGGCCCGATTCGACTGTATCGGATCGATGTCGTCGATAAGGATGAGTACCAGATGATCGGCGTCTGCGCTCTCGGCCCTCACCCTCCTGGGGCGGGGCACGTGAAGCTGGTTCTTCAGCCCTCCGAGATTCATGTGGCCGTGAGTCCTCGTCTCGGCGATAACCTCTGGTTCTTGACTCTTGAGGACCGCGAGAGCTCCTGGGTCTAGCGTCAGCCTCACCACGTGAGTCGCGAGCTAGCGTCTCATCATCATCACGATGGCGTCGATATCGAGACTCGCCTTCGCGGTGAGACAGTCGGCGATGGCGGCCCTCGTCTTCCTCTGGAGGTCGATGAGCTCGCCTCTCGTCGTCGCCACGATATCTGCGCTCCCTGTCCTCCTCACCACGGCTTCCGCCGGAGCGATTCGAGTGATGAGGATGTCGGCGCCTACGATGTCTATCTCTATCTCTATCGCTTCGCGAAGAGTCAGATTCTCTGCTCCTATCGTCTGCAAACAAGTCAGCATTAGACTTGTGAAGTTCTTCGATTTCATCATCAAAGCTCCTCAAAGAAGGAGAAACAGCTGGAAAATTGTAATCATCGGGCTCTGCATCCATCTGATGCTCCAGATTGGGAAGTCCTCCGTTCCTGTGATAAATGAAAGGCGAAGGGCTGCCGGGAGGACTGAGGGCCTCTGCAGTAGCATATATGACCACGGCGGCAGCCAGCGTGTCCTCAGCACGTCGAATTGATGTCTTTCGTGTGCGCCTTAGGGTACGGGCTCGCTGTAGATCAATCATATCTGCATCTGGAACCACTATGCCAGGACTCGGCGATCTCTGGACTTCAGCCTCAACGGTGGAGCCAGCTGAGGGGGCAGCTCGATATGCAGCATCTCGGAGCCCCTCTTCAATTGTGACTGCGGGATGTCTGAGATCGTGCCTCACATGGCCCGTAGACGACTCGCCTTCGGCCTGGAAAGAACGAGGTCGGGGAGGCTTTTCACTCCGCACTGCCATCGTTGAAGGATCGCCGTGCAACTCCAAGGATCGATGCGCTAGTGGCGGACGAAGTGGCACATTAGCCGGTTCGCTTTCAGCACGAGGAGGCTGAGGCCGCTGAATAGGCTTGGTGTCTACTGAGCGGCTTGCGGCAGGGATGAATATGGGATCCTTGGTGTAAACTTCTGTCACGGGACGAACCCTAAGCGATCTTCGTGGCCGCTGCTGTTGTGTCAGGAATGTCCGAGGCGGCTCCGTGCGGGACAGACGCGTCGATCGTGAAGTAGAGCTAGACCTTTTTGGACTCTCTGGTATACTAGCAACTGCTTTGCCTTTATCACGCGAAGGGATATCAACAACCTTGACAGCCATGTGTTCAGGTCGGACGAGTTCGAGGGGCTTCACCTCGGCGGCCTGCACGGGCCTTGGCTCAGAACCTTGAGTGTCATCCGTATCGGGAGTCTTGACCTCGTGCAACATGTGGTCAGACAAGTCTTGATTGGGACCCTCCGCTGATGGCAAATGTTGGTCTCGAAGGCCAGCGCATATGGTATGGTCATGATTTGGCTCTTCGTCTTGACTTCTCTCGCTCAAAGCCCTGAATTCATCTTCAACTGCCCCCCTTGCCCCTGATGAAGTTGCATAACTGAGAGCCGGCGGCCCCTGAGACTCAGTACCGTGCACTGATCGATCGCCCTCAGGTTTATTATCAGGCCACTCAGGGATTTCAGGAGTGGTGCTTCGAGTCCCGATAGTTTTGGTCTCATGAGGCGGCATTACTTCAGCATCAGTATCATCCACGTTAGCAGTTTTATCTCGATTTGTTTCTGCTTCAAACGCTGGCGGTTCCACTTCTTCAGGCTGGTGCGGTGCAGAGATTCTGTCGATGCCAATTGGGGAAATTTCTCTCGAGGCAGGTAGGTCATCGTCACTCTCATCATCAGTGGCAGCTGTCGCAGTCGCCTTTCGATCGACTTCGTCATCTGTGGAGCTGGCAACAGATCTGTTTTCGGTTTGAAGTCCAACGTCAGAAGCGGCTGGCAGCTCGACACCAAACACTTTTCCCACGGATTCGTGCTTATCCTGAAGCCCACGACTTGAGGTTTTACTAGGAGTCTCTAACATCTTCTCGGAGTCAGGATAGACGTAGTTTTGCTGAACGGCAGATGCAATAGCAGTAGATATTCCGCCGTGTTTCGGTTCATGACCAGTAGCAAAATGAGAATCGTCTTCGCTGGGCACTATCTGTGGTAAGGACGGTGGTTCGGTTTTGGCTTCGTTTTCTGGCCCTTCTACCTCGGACTCGCTATCGGCATCAGAGTGTTCAAGCGGTCTATGAGGGAGTGCGGTGCCATCAAGCTGCTCCTCATCCACAGACCCAGGTGAAGAAGACCTAGAAAGATTGACAGATGATTTGACTTCAGGCGATGCCTCTCTCTGGGCAGTAACAGCTGGCTCTGGAATGGAGGTCTCGGGTTCCGGGTGCGGAAGACCATGGCGTGGAGAGTTGTGCTGATCAGAAGAAACTATTCTTTCTTGAATACCTGTAGCCATCAAAAGTGATGAAGTAGAATCAGAAAGATCCAGCTCCTCAGATTGGTCTATTGCGCGATCTGGATTAGGTTCGGGCTGCTCATCAACAACTGCAAGGTTTGGATCTGTAGGCTCAAGCGGCTCGGGTGGTTCGTCATCATTAAAAGGCAAGCCACGTCGAGCACCGGTGGTTTGTAACACGGAGCTTAAATCCAGTTCTGGCGAGTTGGCTTCATGGACGATATGAGTTTGGCCTACATCAGACTCGTCACTATCATCATTCGTGGCCTCGCCCTTGTCATCGTCACCAAGAGCAAGCGTATGGGCTTGCACACGTAGGTCCTCTCTGGGACCATCTTGGGCTCTCAAGCTCGGTGAGTCGTGCTCTGGCTCAGAATTATTTTCATCAGAATCAGAGGTATCCTCCCTGATGAGATTGGATGAAACCAAGACTGGTGAGACTGGCTGTCTTTCGATAGTAGGCTCGTTCAGTTCCCAAACAGATTCACCCGGCAAACTAATACCAGTTGCTGACTGGGGTTCTGATTTACGGCTGGCTTCAGAATCATCATCCTCTGAGTCATCCTCGGAACCGGAGTCATCAAGATCACTGATCTCTTTAGCAGCATCTCCCAATTTGATTGATTCCGAGTGCAAAGCAGCAGCCGGCTCATCCATCCCGGGAGAACCCGGCTCTGCCTGAACTTGTTGATCATTGTGACACTCTAACGAGATTGTCTGGTCGACTGATTTAGGTCTAGAAGCAACACTCTGTTGGTCGAGGCTACTGCCTTCATCATCCGAATCTTCGTCTGAAGCTATGGCTTTCTGAGAGATATCAACAGGTTGAGCGTTCGTGGAAGCATATGGCCGATCTCCAGGTCCAGACTTGAAACCAATAACTTCGTCTGGTGAACTCGCGCGTGAGATAGAATCAGAATCTTCAAGCTCCCCAATGGCTGTTTCTTCCGCCAGGTCACGTTTGCTGGGATGTGTGGCATCGCCCGAGATTATGGCATTTTCTTGAGCTTCGGTGGGCTTGGCTACCTCTGATGGCTCTAATTCTTGGACGTGACTTGGAGTTGCAAGTTCTCGAATTTGTTCCTCCAAATTCGAAACATCGTTGCCCACCGATTCAGCCTCTGAAATGTCAGAGTCTTCTTTCTCTTGTCCTTCTGGCTCTGCACGCCGCATAGCCATGTCTTGGGTCAACTCTCGTGACGTTTGCAACACGTTGTCAAAATCAGTTTTCAGAATTTTGGGCTCATGAGAAGATAGCTCTGGCGTAGGAATTGGTTGTAACAGCCCCGGAGATGATTTATCGGTTTCTGCTTCGACGCGGCTGGCAGGGTCTTGAGCATCGAGAGGCTCATCGGCGGCGGTGTGTGAGGGCACAGAAGTTTCTGAATCCTCATGAGAGATTACCGATGTGCTGCGTGCAACTACGAATGGCAGGTCTGGTTCCATTCTCCTAGATTTCTCATTTTCATCATGAGCGTCCTGGGCTGGCTTTGAGTGTGGTTCTTCGACATGCGTCTCGCCCTCAGTCCCAGGCTGCTGAGGCTGGGGCTCGGCAATCGAAATTGGGTCTTGGAGGCTGATATTTACAGGTCCTTCAGTAGCAATTCCCTGAACGGCGCTCTGTGATTGGCCTGCAAGGCCCTGTTCGTGTGGAGCATATGGTGCGGAGATTTTAGTGCTATCATGGGCTTCGGTGGCTGGGGGACTCGCGGCCAGACCGGTATCATCGGTAGCGTGCAGGTCAATAGGCGTACACAGAGGCGTCAGACCTGGTTGAGGCACATATTCAGGTCCTGAGATCGACTTCTCTTGGACATCATCTAGAATCTCGGCCTTCGATCCTGGGGGTGCGGAGTTATCCTCCGCTGCTGTATTGCTCCTTTTTTCGCCCGAGCTAGGCTCTTTTGGCCCTGGCATCGTGGTTTCTGCAAGAGTTTGGTCATTCTGGTCGCCCAGTGCTACAGCTACTGGTAGCTGGCTCGGGTGGTGAGCGACTGTTTCGAGTGATGTAATTTCCTCGCGGTGTGGAATCCCTTGATGGTGCTGGGTATCGTCTGAATCAAACTCCAAAACGCCATTGCCCCCCTCTTCATTCAACTCTGTGAAAACTCCCAAGTGTTGTGCAAAATCAATAGGGGTATCGTGTAATGAACCATGTTCCTCACCTTTTTTAGCCTGTCTCTTGTTACTTGGAATTGGCCCAAGGATATCTTTGCTTTCTTCATCTTCCTTGGCCTTGGTCTCTACCTCCTCTATGTCCTTGACTGGCTGGTCATCCTTCTTTTGTGCTTCGGCAGGAGGCTCATCAGTAGGCTCGTCTGGTGATTTGGTCGTGACGCCTTCGGTTTCTGGGGTCACTTCTCCAGCAGGCCTGGCTTCCTCCTCTGGTGCAAGAGGCTCTTGTGTTTCCGGTTTCGTCTCGTCCTGAGAGACCTTGGAATCGTCAGCTGGCTTGCCATCACTTGGAAATTCATCCCCAGTTGCTGCAGGTATTTGTTCTTGGGCCGGTATCTCCTCCGGTGCAGATGTATCCTCTGGTTTGGAAGGCTCTTCGACAGTTCCACCCTTGGTAAACTGGTTGGTGTCTTCCTGCGCATCTGTGGGTGTTGCCTGTTTGGGATCGTCTTCAGCCGCGGCTGCGGCTGCGGGAGGTTCTTCTGCTGTTTTGCCATCTTGGCCAGGCTTTTCTTCAAAGCCTGAGGGGTCTTCAAGTTGCTTGTCCTCGACAGGTGTAGCCTCTTCCCCTGGTTTGCTGTCAGCGGTTTCAGAGCCTTTCTCTGGCTCGTCATGAGCTGCCAGTGCCTCCTCGGCCGGTTGATCTTCAGGCATTGTTTTCTCCTCTGCCGGCTCGATCTCACCCTCCGCCCCCGCTTCCGCCTCTGCCTCTGCCTCTGCCTCTGCCTCTGCCTCTGCCTCTGCCTCTGCCTCTGCCTCTGCCTCTGCCTCTGCCTCTGCCTCTGCCTCTGCCTCTGCCTCTGCCTCTGCCTCTGCCTCTGCCTCTGCCTCTGCCTCTGCCTCTGCCTCTGCCTCTGCCTCTGCCTCTGCCTCTGCCTCTGCCTCTGCCTCTGCCTCTGCCTCTGCCTCTGCCTCTGCCTCTGCCTCTGCCTCTGCCTCTGCCTCTGCCTCTGCCTCTGCCTCTGCCTCTGCCTCTGCCTCTGCCTCTGCCTCTGCCTCTGCCTCCTGTGACGAAGATTCTGTAACTGGCTTGGCATCTCGAGATTCAACAACGGCAGTGGGTTCCTCCGCAGGCATTTCCTTAGCGGGCTCTTCTTCTTTGGTTTCGTCACCAGTAGATACTTCTGCGGCCAACTTGGTATCGGAGGGGTCAACTTTTTCTTCTGACTTGTCGTCTGAAGGTTCATCGTCGATCGCTTCCGCAGCTTCCACTGGTTTGTCGTCAGTAGTAAGGGTATCTACAGCTGACACCTCTCCAGCAGGAGTGGTTTCCTCCTTGGTTCCGTCTTCAGCCTCCGGGGCGCTTACTCCTGGTTCCCCTTCAGAGGATTGAGTAACTACATCCATCACAGGTTCCGCAGGTTTATCATCAGGTCCATCTTTCGGTAGATCGGTTGCAGTATCTGAGGACTTGTCCTTGTCATTATGGCCAACAACAGCTTCAGATGCCTCCTCAGGATGTTCTCCCTCATTTATTGCGCTGTTCTCCACTCCGACCGGCTCAAGCGCCTCATGCCCTGTTTCTGTTTCCGCTTCCTTCTTGTCAGAAGCTTCAGGGGGCTCCTCCATTCCATGTCCGTTTGCAAGTGTCCCTGCAGCTGGCGTTTCTTCAGAGGTCCTGTCTTCTCCTTCTTCCAGTCGATTTGGCACGGTCTCATCTGTTGTTCCTGTCTCACCAGCTGCAATTGTGACCTCCTTAGGACCGTTCTCGGAGACACTGGTATCATCAGCTGCATGTTGTGAAGGTTGTGGTGCATCCTGTTCTTCGCCGTTCGAAGCAGATTCATCTTTGTTCGGGTTGCCGGCCGAGTGTGTTGATTCATTTTCTGCCTTCTCGTTTATATTTGGCATCTCTTCAGCCGGGTCGGCCCTCTCTTCAGTAACGTAGTTTTCAGATACTGAGGGCTCTTCCTTGGGGGCCGAGGTGCTTTCGACTGATGTCGTGTCGTCTTCTGTTGGGAATGCTGGCTCTAGAGCCTCGTTGTCGTTTTCGTTGGGTGCACTTTCGCCGGTGCCCTCTACTTCTTTAGTAGCTTCAGTGCCACTTGTTGATATCTCTTGTGTGACTTCGTCGGCATCTTCCTTTGGAGTAACCTCTACCTCAAGGCTCTGGGTTTCGCCGTCCTCAATGTTGACTTCAGCCTTCGCCTCATCAAAATTGGATACGCTAGGAGCGCCAGAATCCTTATGCTTTTCCTCGTGATCTCCCTTGGCGTCGGTCTCATTTGGCGTCTCTAATTCGGGATCTCTATCTGCAGCAGGCTCAGAAGTATCTCCCTCCTGGGGGTTTAGCTCTTCTGACTTTTCTTCAAGAGTTTCTGCATTGACCTCAGGCACTTCAATCGTTGCATCCGCTGTCTTAGACGCCTTCTCGGCGACTACATCGGACGATTCCTTTTCAGTATCGTCTGTTGGGTCCTCTGCTGGCAGTGGTTCAGTCGCACCACCAGTGGGAGTGTCAGGTCCACCGGCTTCCTTGTTAGAGATGTCTAGAACAGGAGATTCGTCCTCCGGCTCCGTGGCTAATGGTTCAATAACTTCTCCTTCAGTCACCACTGGCTTATCCATCTCCACTGGCGCTGGTTCTTGCACAACAGGCTCGGCCATCAAGTCACTTTTCGTATCCATGCGATCCTCAGGTGGCTGCGTTGTCACTTCGGGAAAATTATCATTGTTGTCCACTTCCTTAGACTCAGCTTCAGGCTCGCTCTTTTCCGCCGAGCTGTCGCCCTTCGCCTCCGTACTTGCATCTTCAGGCGCAACGTCCTTTACTGCAGCATTCGTATCAGGACTGACGGTCGATGCGGGTTCTGCAGCCTCTTCTATATCTTCTGTAGTAGCATCAGGTTGTTCGTGCTCTTCCTGTGGCTTAGATGACTCTTCCTGGGTCCCCCCAATCTCGCTAGCCTTGGACTCAGCTGGGTCCAATTGCCTTCCCGGGATGCCATCACTTGAGCTTTCGCTTTCTGGTGTCGCTTCAACTTGTTGTGTCGTGAGATCAGCAGCAGATGGCTCACCGCTCTCAGGTTTGTCGGGGTTTTCGTCTTGAGAAGGTTCGGCTGGCGTGGTCTCGGCAATAGGCACAGTTTCAAGCTTCGATTCATCATCAATCGAATTGTTTTCGGTTGATTCACCATTCCTGCTCTCTGTGTCTGAAGCGTGGGGCTCTTTATTGCTGGGATCGTCTGTAGGTGCGTCTTTTGTGGGCTGAGCATCAAGTTCGGCTTTTTGCGGTTCCTCCTTAGTAGAGCCATCTTCGGCTTCGGGCGAGATCGTGGAGCCGTTTTCTACATCACTTCCAGCTTTCTCGGTCGTATCAATAGCCTCCTCACTCTTTCCTGTAGGTTCTATTGTGGTTTCCGGCATAGCGTCACTTGTGGTTGCAACGACACTTGCCTCAGCCTCATTGGCCGCTTCCTCTCCAGAATCCGCCGGTTTCACAATCTCAGTTTCACCGCTGCCTTCTGCCTCGATAGTTTCATGATTTGCCTCTGAATCATCGGCAGGGATAAGCTCAGCGGGTATCGAGTCTTCTGGAGAGGCTTTGGGTTCAGTCTCGGTCTCGGGAGGAATTTCGCGAGGTTCGATGGGAGATTCAACTTCAGCTTTGCTGACAGTTTCGGGCTCAGTAACACCTTCGAACCCAGGCTCTGTAGACGACTCAGGCTTTACATCCGACTCAGTTGCAGGCTCATTCGGTGATCCGGCGTCTACTTCAACGAAATCAGCTTCGGCAGCTGCAGACTCAACAGCAGGCTCGGGCTCGGGCTGGGGTGTTGCGATGCCACTTTTCCCGCCTTTCTTCTTCTTTTTCTTCTTGTTCTTCTTGGCGGCCGTGGCAGTTGTGTCTTCAACAGCTGCTGTATCTTCTGTCGGCTTTGTTGCGTCGGAGGCCTCTTCTTTGGATATTTCCTCCTTGGGCGGTTCATCCTGAGTGATTTCTGCTTCTGGCCCAGGTACTTCAGGTGGCTTGGCATCAGTCACCTGGTCCTCTTCGCGAGGCTTGTCTTCTGGTACTGAAGTTTCCTTGTCATTCGTCAAGGCAACTTTCGTCTCCGGGGACGAGTCATTGCCGCCAGAGGATTCCTCCGTATCAACAGGAACAGCTGGAGCTTCCGTTTCAACAGGCTCATCATCGACACCAATAGCTGTTGTTACATCGGTGCCTTCCTTGTCGTCAGGTGCTGTTTCTTCTGACTTGACAGGCTGCTTGTTGTCTCCAGCGTCCTCTGGCGATAGTGTTTCCTTCGGAATAGACTCGTCCTTGTCACCCGCAGCAGCCTCGCTCGCCGTTCCGGCTGCTGGATCTTCAGCTGGTGTGTCTTTCGCTGCAGCATCGACTCCTGCTTCTACGGGGCTTGTGTCTCCTGGTTCCAAATCATCTTCTGATTCGGCGGTCGGTTTGGTTGCAGCAACTGCAGCTTCGTCTCCAGCAGAAGCATCGGTTTCCAAAGCTGCTACGGGAGTGGTACCTTCATTACCCTCTGTGGCGTTATGGTCACCAGAATCGCTCATTGCCCCAGAAGTCTCAGCTGCTTCTCCAGTCTTACTACCCTCGTCAACGCTGGCAGCTTCAGGGGCAGCCTCTTCCGTGGGCAGCGCAGGAGTAGGGTCTGGATCTGGTCCCTCCTCTTCGGCTGAAGCTTCCTCTGTGTGGTTTAGCTCAGATTCTGAGGGCTGATGCTGAAGCGAAGATGATGTCTCGTTTGCAGGCTGGAGCTCAACCTCGGGTTGTAAGGCTTTGTCCTCTGCTGGAATTTCGCTAGTTGACTTTGCTTCAGGCTTTGGGTCTCCTTCACTTGTCGGTTCTTTAGCAGGTGCCAGATCTTCGGAAGAGGAAGATGTGTCTTCTGCAGGGCCATGTTCTATTTCGGATTCCGCGACTTTTCCTCCTGTGGAGCTCTCATCGGTGTGCTTTGGTTCTTCGGCTGAACCTTCGACTGCGGGATTTGCTTCTTCCTCTGCAGACTTGACTTCTTCTGCAGCCTTCACCTCTTCTTTTGAGGTTTCCTCTTGAGCTTCTAGATCTTCCACCAGGGTTTCCTCTGCAGACTTGACTTCTTCTGTTGAGATTTCCTCTGTTGGTTTTGGTTCTTCCACAGAGGTATCATCGGTAGGCTTTACTTCCTCCGTTGAGGAAGCTTCTTCTGTAGACTTGACTTCTTCTGTTGGGGTTTCTTCTGTCGGTTGTGGATCTTCTACCGAAGCTTCATTTGAAGGCTTTACTTCTTCTGTCGAGGTTTCTTTTATTGGCGCTGGCTCACTGGCTTGTGTTTCTTCTGTAGGTTTCGAATCCTCCGCTGGGGCTTCACCTTTAGGCTTCACTTCTTCTGCTGGTGCAACCTCTCCTGCAGTCTTCGTATCCTCAGAAGGCTGAGGCTCCTCTTCGGACTTCGCTCCTTGAACCAGCGCCACCTCTTCTAGGGAGGAAGGGGTCTCATCAGCAAGTTTGGAATCAACTCCAAGTTCAACGTCGTTGTTTTTCTCGGCCCAATCGGCTGTACTGTTTCTCTTCCCTTCTTCATCCTCTATGGCTTTTGGTGAGTCAGGCGTATCGTCCTTGGAATTGTTCGCTTCTTTCGATGAGTGTGAGTGCTTGGGCTTGTGATGATGAGATTTTTCGGCTTTCGCAGCTGCCTTCTTCTTCTCCTCTCTCTCCTTCTTTTCTTTCTCCTTCTTCTTCTTCTTCTGATTTTTATTCAGAGGCTTTGTTTCGGTAGCAGCTGAAAGCTTATCATCACCATCACCACCCTTCTCTGACGTCCCTGCTGTTTCTGGCTCAACTGAGGTTTGGTCCTTAGCTGGAGACTCTTCAACGGGAGGGGCCTCCTCTGCTCCAGGTACTCCCTCCTTGGAAGGCGTTTCCTCAATCGCCAGAAACTCTTCCTTGGAGTGATCCGTTACGGACGACTCTTCTGTAGCCTTCTCCGCTAGCGCGGGCTCTTTGGGAGCTTCCTCTGGCGCAGGTACATCTTCTTTGACTAATACTTCGCCTGCCGTTGAAGCATCATCCTTTGGTGTCTCAATCGCGGGGTCTTTTGACTCGGTGGTATGGACTGCGGACTTCTCACCCACAATGTCTTCTTCGCTTGCCAGTTCATCATTTGGCGTATCGTCTGCGGGGCCTTCTAGTTGGGGCGCCTCTCCCTCTTCCTTTGGTACACCTTCTTGGGCTAGAGCCTCCTCTTTGACGGGCGTCTCTTGAGCCTCAGCAGCTGATGCTTCAGTCGAAGTGGGGTCCTCCATTTGGGACGCCTCCTCAGGGGATGTTTGTTCCTTGGGCGTCTCCTTGCCGTCAGTGTCCTTGGGCGCCTCCTCCTTCTCTTCGTCCTTCTTTGACGCCATATCTTCTGATGTTGTCTCTGTCTCTACAACCTCTTCTCCCACAGCTGGTAAGTCTTCGTTGTTGGCCGTGTCCTGTGTTCCAGTCAATTCAGGTCCTTCAGTCTCCTCCTTGGCTTCCTCCTCTACCTTCCCCGCCTCTTTGCTCTCCTCGGCGGTTGGAGGTGGGGGAACTGGCACAGGAGGAGGAACTGGAAGAGACTTTGACTCCTTTTCCTTCTTCTTGCTCTTCTTGCCCTTCTTCTTGCTGGACGTTGTGGCTGCTGGTGATTCATCATCTGCTGGAGTTGACACTGGAGCTGGAGCTGCTGGAGGGTCTGGTGCTGGAGGTGGCACAAAGGCAGCTTCTGCAGCTGCAGCGGCCTTCTCTTTTTGCTTTTTCAACTTCTTCTTGTCTTTCTTAGAAAGTGACTGTGATGTTGTAGGTGCTGTAGGCACTCTCATTAGTGATTGTTGTGTATATCCGCCTGTAGGTGATTTAGTACAGAAGGGTCAACGAAAGAAAGCGATTGGCAATAAGCCCAACTCACCTTCATATTCATCCTTTCCAGGATCATCCTCCGCATCTGAAAATTCGGGTCTGGAGTATTGGACATTTGAGAAATCGGAGAACTGTACATGCCCCCAATCAATTTGTGTCCTACTACCAGGGTAATAGTCGTAGCCGTAGCTGTAACTCATACTTTCTCTACCTTGTCCGCACCTGACATTACGAAAAGATCTCAATGACAAAAATCCGGGGAGCAACTCTATTATCTTGCTTCTTGCAGCACACCAGTCAGGCGATCGGGTAGCTGCAGTAATGCCACCAAGTATTAGATTTCTCGAGGCCCTGATGTTGTTAAGCTCCTACCTACCAAGGAAGTATGGGTCGGGGGGGGGGTATCATGCGGCGCACTGCAGGGCGCCAGCTCAGCAACAAAAAAAATAATTATGGCAGATAACGTCTATTGGACGGTACCAGAAAACAGAAGGGTTGTGAGCTCAGTAACTTTGATTTGCGAAATGCAAGCCTCGGATCATAACGGGCGAACGGGTGGGAGGTCCGGAGAGGTCATTCACGAGAGGTACATACCTACCTTATTCTTGAGGCGAACGATGGATGGATGGGTCCATTTCCCTCAAGGCAGGACTGCTGGAGAAAAAAAGCATGCAGGCCTGACAAAACCCGGTCTGATTGCCCAGTCCCCTGCTTGTGATGGGCCACAGGCGCTCAAACCCCAAGGATTACAGCGAGTGCTGCGTCGTGCCCATGCGCAATTGGCCCATGCAGAGCCAGCGCTGGCTGGCGCCACGTCGCTGGGGCGGTTGGGTACGGTAGGTTGGGTTCCATGGACCATATGTATCGGTACGATACATTAAGGCGAGCCTAACGGAGCGGGCCAGCAGAGGACTCGACAAGGTTGAACAGAGCAATGATGCATTGGTTTGACCTACCTGGCCAAGTGTCGATGAGGCCTATCGCGGCCCAATAATAAGGTGCGTGCTGTACCCAGGCTCGGATAGCAGAATCAGTACGGACCTGCATGGACGGGCCGCTGCCAGCATGACAATCAAACAACCTTGAGCCAAGCGGCACGAGTGACAGACAATCATGATGCGATGCTTGCCAGGCAGGCAAGATAGCAATTGGGAAATAACTAGCAGACCAGCTTTGTGCAACACTGGTCTGCCTGCCTGGTACCAGGGCGGATCTCAGAGCCTCCAGAGCCCGTTGTCGTCCACTGCCAGCTGCAAAGACGTCAGGACCGGCTTCAATATCGAAGGTTGTCCGGACCCGCCATCCCCACGCCAAAGGCCGCTCCTAGCAGGCGGATCCCGGTACGGGCCTCCTCTCCAGTACGTCTCGGATGGGGGACAACATCTCAAAACCTTGGATGACTCGGCAGGTCGATCGATGGTGGATGGCTGCAACTGAGCGGTTTAGTTACTTCAGATGTGCAACGTGGCTCGCTTCTGAAGCTTCTTTTGGCAGACCCATTATGCATCTCGATATCAGAAGCCCTCGGGCCTCAGATGTAGGCCATTCCCCCTCGGTGGGGGCATTTCATGTCAATCATTGTCAATACTCAGCATTTCCAGAAACGACCTGGTTACAACGCATATCTCTCGATGAGATGTCGCCCAACTCATCTCACACCTTCTTCTGACTGGCTCCTCGGCTTCAGGCTGCTCGAGCCTGATAGCATCATGACATCCACCCCCTCCGCCATTATACCGTTGTGACCGTTGAGCAACGTTGCCGTCGACATTGTGGGCGTTGCGTGAGCTGAACTTGAGGCGCAGAGACAATAACATTCTCAATTTGTCCACGCCCATGCCCTGTCTCAAATAGAGAGGCCCACTTCATAACACGGAACTCTTGTTCTTGCGTCCCGTCTTGATCAATCAACACATGCACCTCTGATTTCGTTTACAGCCTCCACAACTTCCATCACAAGTAGCCAGCCAGCCAGTTTTACTTCGTAACACAAACAAGATCCGTTCCTGGCGGTAGCGTCATGGGCGTTATGGAAATAAGGAGAGCGGTGAGTAAGATTGACGTAAATGGAGAGGCTGGATCGTGAAAACTCTTGACTACTAGGCCGCCAAGGATTAATAATAAGTGGCAGCTGGGGAGAAATATGGACGGCTAACATGTGAGCAAGGCCACTTCCCTGTCACGGCAGAACCTCACCATCTTAGTTTTCAATTAGCATTAACATATATTTCATGAGAACCAAGACCTACACTGGCTCTACTCGATCTATATGGCACTTAATTACTGCTTTTTTCAAACCTACGTGGGTATCTAGGAAGCAATATGCGGCACTGCCTGAGCAGGCCAAACTCGCCTTGTGAGCCAGGTTTTTTGAGAGAGAGAAATCATCACAGTGTTGCATCATTGTGCATGATGCACAGGTATAAAAGACTGTGCAAGGAACGCCAGGTGGACAACAATTTGGTGACAGCCTTCTTCTTTTATTGGTATCTCCATCTTGCAAAAGACAGACATAGGGTAGTTAGCTTTTCCTGCCTAATTGCATCCTCAATTTCCCACATTCCATCTTAACTCTGTCGCATTTCGAAAAGGTCAGAAACCGCTGGCCGGCGACTGCGATAGGCCGCTCCATCGCACCTCCCGCTGAATCAAATCATTGTATTGTGGCAATTGTAGCCTCAAAACCTCATGCGATCGTAGACCGTCCCATTCTGGTTCATGCCGCCATAGGCCATACCGTTAAAGCGTGGTCCGTTATTCCCGAAACCATTGTGGAATCCAGGATGAACTCCGTACGCGGGCAAGTTCTAGACACCCTCGGTAGCCTTAGGCTCAGTCGCGCTGGGGGCATACGAAGCTTGAGCTCTGTTCTTCTTGATGACTTCCTTCACTCGTTCCTCCGCCTCATCCCAATCCTCGGTATCGAGCTTGACCAAGTCAATACCATATTGCTCGGCAATCTTGCTCAAGGCATCGAAACTTTTCTTATCGTAAACGAAGCTGATGCTGACCCCGACACGGCCAAATCGACCGGTTCGGCCGATACGGTGCAGATAGGTCTCGGCATCTGGCTCAGTGTCGCCTCTTCCCTTCATGGGGATGTCATAGTTGATAACCATGGACACACTGGAAACATCGATACCACGAGCCAAAACGTTGGTGGTAATGAGAACCTTGTTCTCGCCCTGGCGGAATTTGGACAAAAGATCATCTCGCTCGAATCCATCAAAAGCGGCATGGAGTGCAGAGACCTTGTGACCATCTGCTACCATTCGCCTCTGGATCTCGTTGGCGCTTTCTCGTGTCTGTGGAGAGTTAGAGTAGAGATCCAACGATAACCAGTACTACTTACCTTGACGAAGATGACTGACTGGCCGATGGTCATCAACCCATACAGCTTGCAGAGAATATCGTACTTGGTGTTGTCATCTGGGCAGTCGATAAACATTTGAGAGATGCCCTTGACTGTGAGCTCACTACGCTGCAACTTAAGACTATGGGCGTTAGGCGCGAACTTGCTGGCATACTTCATGACATTCTCGGGGAAGGTGGCCGAAAAAAGAAGGACCTGAATGTCCTTGGGGAGCATGCTATCAAGCTTTAGCGTTTCATCAGTAAACTTGAACTCCATGGGGACTTACTTCTTGACCCGAAGGCACTGGTCCCCGAGTCCTTGCTGATCCAGCATGTTGTCGGCCTCATCAAGGACAAGGACGCGGAGCTGAGAGACATCTAGCTGTCTGCGTCGAATGATATCCATCACTGTACCTGGAGTACCGACAATGACACTAGCTCTGACGGGTTCCCCACGAGGAAGTACGCCAGGGATCGCAGCAGCAACCTTCTTATTCTCGATAAAGCGGCCGATGGCGTTGATAACTCCTTCAATTTGTCGCGCGAGTTCTCGGCTAGGTGCAAGAGCAAGAGCTTGGGGCTGGTCAGGTCTGCTGAAGTCAACTCGCGACAATATCGCGGTCACAAAGGCAGCGGTTTTGCCAGTGCCAGACTGGGACTGCGCCAACATGTTTCGCGGCGGATCGCTGAGCATCAGCGGAAGTGATCTGCCTTGTACCTTGGAGGGCTTCAGAAAGTTAAGGCTTAGGAGACCCTTCAGAATATCCTCACGGCTGAAATAGAAATGTCAGTGATGTTTCTCCCAGAATGAGATGATCACCACCTACAGGCCAAGATCCTGCCAGGTGGTGGCAGAGTGGAAGGGAGTAGCTTCATTGTTCTGTAGCTCGCTAAGGGAGACCTCGACATCCCATTCAGGCTCATGGAGACCAGAGCCACCAAGGTCCTCGATGTTGCCGTCGGCTTGGCCAAGTTCGCCAGTAGAAGCGGGAGCACTTTCGGCTGGAGGCTCCGCGGCAGCCTCATCTGGCTTTGTAATTCGGCTCGCAAGATCAGCCATGGCGAGTAGAGTGATGTGCCGTAAAATACGTTTCGGCGATCGCAAGGTGGAAGAAGAGAAGTCGATACGGGGGGGGGGGGAGGCGGTGGTAAAGTTCTCGAGGCCCTGGAGCAGGCGCTAGAAAACAAACTGCCTGGCAAGATCACGACGTTCCTTCAACCTGCACGAGCCGGCGCCGAAAAGGCTTTAAAAAGAGATGTTGACAGAGAGAAAAGGTTGAGGTATGGATCAGCCTAAGTCAAGAGAAATACTCAGGCAGGTAGGCAGGTGGATAGGCATAAACAAAAGCTCATGCCAGCTACCGTAAGGTGATGAGAGGTGAATGGACTGGAAAGCTTCCTTCTCCAAAGTTTTGGCGGGGTCCAAGTTTATTGGAGGGGTACATGCAGAGCAGAGCAGTTGAGATGCCTAAGGTACCTAGGGAGGTACCTAAGGTTAGTACTTAGGTAAGTACCTTCCCATCCAATTGGGTGGAGTCCATTCAAGCTTCCATCAATGCTCGCCTCTGACGTTAGTACCTTAGGCACGCCCTGTACAGGTACAGCCCCCAGGGGTATCAAATGTTAAATCTGGTACTTTAATTAGTAGCTAATCTGCTATAAAATAGATATAGATTAGCCTAGAATTATCTCTATTAATATACTAAGTATATAATATTTTATTAGTATTTATAATTTTATTAAAATAAAAAATACCTAAATAATTATAGAAATGTATATTTAATACCCCTGCGGACTGTAGTACTATAATGTGGGCAACTACCTACCGCTAATTACCCGGCGCATTTGCTCCCACATCAGCTGTGGAACTTGGCAGGTATTCCAGACTGATACAGTTGTGGATAAATCAAGATACCTAACTTCGGCATAAAACTCGAGGCTCAACTTACGCCAACCATACCTTGAACCAGGAAATACCAAGATTCGACTATAAAGCTTTCATAGCTCCATATATCATACAGTAGTCTTGAATAACAGCGATGTCAGCTCCACCGCCACCACCTCAAGGAGGGCTATCTCTCTATGAGAATCTGCTGGATCCCAATGATACGTCTTCAACCTCAGCAACAATATCTTCGGCACCTATTCTATACAGCCAAACAGAAGACACATCTGCAGAAATTGTCGTCAAGAAGCCCATTGATCCCGCCCTTCGCTTTCAACCTATACGTCGTCCACAGGTGAAGCAAGCCAAGCCAAAGCCGGCATTCCCCAAGCCGGCTGTTTCTAAGCAGGCTATCAATCCTGCTCCTCCCGCTCCAGTGCAACCGAAGACTACGCTTGCAGACTGGGCCGCAACTGAGGAAGATGAGTGGATGTATGGTATGGGTGAAAAGCGTCAGCGTGGCGGTCGGAAGAAGAAGAAAAAGAGACAACAAGAGGAATTTGAGACCAACTGGGACGATATCTATGACCCCACACGGCCAACTAATGTTGAAGAGTACCTGCATAGTGATGAGAAAGTCCAAGAGGTCAGAGATTGGAAAGCTTTGCTTTATAGGCACCGGCGTAAACGCGACGAAAGCGACCTCTCAGACGAGGACGAGGACGAACAAACCCGGCATGCTCCTTCAAGTGAGTACACTACAAACAGCCTCTTAGTAAAATTCTTACCTTTATCAGATCAGTTCGCTCCACCTTCGTCATATGCTTTCGTACCACCACCGCCTCAATCACCCCCAGGACCACCTCGAGGCGATGTTAGTGGGGACGATGTATTTGCTCGCCGTGTAGCTATATCTCAAGGGGACGCTCCTCCTCCTACTGCTGCACAAGCATCACCCTCTCAGCCTTCCAATTTCGCCACCATATCACGCGCCCCCGTAAGATATTCAAAGCCACATGACGACGAAGACGCAACAGGGGATAATGTCGAAGACGATGCGTATTCTCCGCCCCCAGCTCTTGGGTCCAGTCTTCCGGAACAACCTGGTGAAGATTCTCAAGCTCGGTCAAGCCGTCCGGGCCAGTCTGGTTTTGCCCATCGATTGATGAGCAAATACGGATGGACAAAGGGCAGTGGCCTTGGTGCTGATGAGTCAGGAATTGTCAACCCTCTGCATGTTCAAGTCGAGAAGCGGCGGAAGAAAGCCGACGCAGATGGCGGAGGATGGGCCGAGCCAGGTGGAAAGGGTAAGATCCTTGGTGGGAAGCGCAAAGAGGAAAACGCAGGCAAGTTTGGTACTATGAGTGATGTCATAGTATTGCGCAATATGCTTGAAAATATGCCGAATCTCGAGGAGGAGATTGCAGGAGGTTTGGGACAAGAGATCGGAGAAGAGTGTGGAGAAAAGGTTTGTGAAAGTTATGTCCTTTTTTAGGCATGATATAATTAACAAAGATACAGTATGGGCGCGTGGAGAGACTATACATTGACCAGGAAAGCCGCAGAGTGTTTATCAAGTTCACAAATCAAGTTTCAGCCCTTCGGGTGAATATTCTGTTTTCTCTTTCACAACCGCAAACAGCTGACAACCCGTACAGGCAGTCAATGAACTAGACGGTCGTGTATTCAACGGCAATACAATAGTCCCCGAATTCTTCGATACAGAAAAGTTTGAGCAGGGGAAGTATCATTAAAAAGAGTGCTTTCATGACAGGTCACGGCTACGCAGTGTAACAGAAGCAAAGCTTTAAGGGGCAGAAATAAACGTGATAGTCAAGTATTATCAATATGGAGACATATCCTTTACAGATTTGGAGGAACCGACTTTACCCAACCAGAGTCGGTATTCAGCATGAAACAAGTAATATTCCGGTCAACATACTCGTATAACCTCCCCTCTTAGGCGTTGGTTGGTGTTGTCTTGAGTGTCGTATTCCTTAGGAGGGACAAAGTTAGAAGATAGGCAAATGAAAACCGAGTTTCACGAGGGTTTAAGCAGGGAACCTGGTAAACCCCGAATGTAAAGAGTAGGCGATTGGCAATCAGATGGATGGAGAAGAAGGATTTATATTCATAGTAGACCTGCAACTCGGCAATCCTTGATACAAGTTGCAGACCGAAAAGATTCATGGTCAGATATGGAAAAGAAGCACTTATCACAAACTAAAAGTCTTTGTATGATGAGTTTAAGAGAAGCATAAATTTTCAGGACTCGGCGAACATGATCTCAAGAATAAAGTCCAAGTACAATCGATTATTAAGCTCTAACAGGTTATCCTTTACACGCAGTTACCCCCACCCCATGAAAAGCATTTTGTGCCCTATGATGACCAAGCACAATATGTCGTAGAGAAAAGTCAGGAAACATGATGACGGCGATAATGACGCCTTTAAGAGAAAATCCAGTAATCTTCATCTCCGGGCTTAGAAGAACTGGGCAACGGCAGCAACACCTGCAAGAGCAAGAACAGCCATGTTGACGCTGACAATGCCAGCAGCATCCTCCTTGTCGCTACTGTTGCTGCTGTCGGAAGAGCCGTCGCTCTCCTCACCACCGTCCTTGCCCTCGTTGGCCGCCTTGTTGTTAGATGTGCACTTCTCCTCACCGTCGATCTTCTTGTCCTTCTTGAGGTTGTCGAAGTAGTCGCAGAACTCCTTGATATCGGTGGTCGACGAAACAACGACACTGCCACTAACTTGGTCAAGCTTGGGAAGTTCCACCCTGAAATCACTCATTAGACTTGGAAATTCAGTATGCTAGAGGGGATTTACTCACTTCTCGAAGCTGCCTCGGAGGGCAACACCACCGGTGACCTTCTCGAGCTTGGGGAAATCATCAATAGCCTCAAGCTTGGTGTTGTTCTGGATGGTGAAACCGCCGCCAATCTCCTCCAGGACGGGGAATGAAACATTGGTAAGCTTGTTCATGTTGACAAGAGACAGAGTCTCCGTGATCGTTGTCAGGTTTGGGGCGGAGAAAGACTTGAGCTCGGGGTTGGCGCTCAACTTCAAGCTCTTCGTCACCTCCTGGAGAGCAGGAACCTGAAAGGACTTGGCGCTAGAAATTTGGATCTCGGCAGCAGTCTCGAGCTTGTTCATGGTAATTTCCATAACGTCGTTGCCATTGTCGAAGATCAGAAGCTGGGTAGTAACGTTAACAAGATCGGAGTTGAAAGCGTTCATCTTTCGGTTGTTGTCAATCTGGAAACTCTCGACACTAGCGACGCTGAGACCGCTAAGATCACTGATGAAAGTGTCGGTGATTCGAATGCTCTTGATCTTAGTAACGCCTTCGGTACCGAAGTTCAGCTGGCCGAGTCGGGGAAGCTTGATGAAGCTAAGCTCGCCCAGGCTCTGGAGTGAAGAGAATTCGAGGTTGTTGAGAGCCTCGAGGTTGTTGAGCTCGAACGTTCCGGTGATGGAATTAATGGTGGTACTGGAGAGAGAGATAAGGTCTCCAGCGTTCTTGGCCTGGAAGTTGCCCTTGATCTGCTTGGGGCCGTTGATGACAACGGCACCAGAAACAGACTTGTCAAGGATGATATCGGCATCGACAACATCGCAGCTGATGACTTGTGTAGGTTCGGTGATATTGATGTCCTTGGTACAAGTGGCAGCTAGACGAGATTGTTGTTAGTATAATATCCGAGATGGTGCATCTGATTCTACCCACCAGAAACGGCAGAGACACCGAGGGCCGCAATGGCCGAGAGGACCTTAACCGAATGCATTATGATCTGGATAAACAAACAATTAGATAACGTTGACTATACACGAGTGCGTGAAGACTGCGGGCTGATCTGTCGCGGTGGTCCCTATGAATGTCGGTCCAAAGTACAACCGCCTCCAAAGAAGCGATGCTGATGAGGAATGGTGTCAAAGCGAGCAACTGCAATACAATGATGCTCGATAGCAAGGCCTCTTTTGTGAGGAAGAAGGATGTTCAATGGCAACCAACCTGGAAGGAATGCGTGAGGGGGAGAGGGAGGAAGAGGAGATGCGTCAAGTCAAATCGTAGACAAGAAATGACCAAATCGCAAAACGAATGGAGAAGGAAGAGCGTACAAAAAGATGATTTGAGGCAGGTGAAGGAAGAAAAGAAAGAAAACAAGACGGCAAGAAAGACGGGACGGAGCGGTTGAAACCAATCAAGGAGCACAAGCCAAGGAAATGCGCGTCTCGGCAAGCATCTCACAATGGATCAAGCCAGTCGACCGAGCGATGAACGTTCGTACGTACGTACCTAGATTGTAAGGGGAAAGGATCCTGTGATTTTGTTGGATGGTGTTGATTCTTCAAATTCTTGGGAGTTTCTCGGCGAGCGACTGAGATATATCACAGAACTGTAAGAATATTCCTAGAACTAGATAAAGTCTGGCAGAGTAGAGCCTGACGAAAACGAGTGGCGTGAAGAGAAAAACTGGACGAGAATATTACCGACAAGGAGAGGAAAGAAGAGGTTCGAAGGAGCGAGAGAAAAAGAGAGGAGGAGACTGGAGGGAGGAGATGAAAGATGGTCGACCGAGATGAGTGCACGGTGGGAATTCGGCGCCGCCTGCATGGGGCATGGGGGGCCAGGGGAGCTACCAGGGTGGGTTCGAGTTGGATGGCAAAACCTAAGTTCACGGACAAAAGCAGGGCACCGACAGGTCAATCCCCAGTTTCGGGGCCCATTCTCCCAGGGGCACTCAGACACTGAAGACCAAAAAGGAACCAGTACCGGCCCAAGGCGATGCCAGGGCGAGCTGGACTCCAGACTCCAATGTGGACTGGACGGGTATGACGGATCCATTAACCAGGTGTGAGAAATACCTAAGGTAGGTAGGGATAAACGGCATAGGCACTAATCTCCTCCTAACCTTAGGTACCTAATGGTTCAGAGATATGGGCCCACTGACTTGGTTACGCCTCATCTGCTACTGTAAACACGGCGTATCACTAAACTATCAAGACGCTAGCTAATCCATTGAGAGTGTTTTTTTCTTCTTCTAATCTGTCTGGCAATGGAGGTTCCTTTTCTGCCTATATTCTCGAGCCAAGACCTTGTGCGCTCGCATTTATACCAACCTCCAACTTCACAAAAAGCCCAATGGCCGCGTAATCAGAGCTAAATGCAACAACAATGACAACACTCTCTGCCTTCCAGTCTGCTTGGCCAGAAACCAAAACAATCAACAGCCCCCAAAGAGGAAATCAGTGGGTACATATCTTCTTCTGCCTCTTTGACTTTACTACGTCGCATGCATTACCAGGCACTACCAGGCACTACCAGGCACTACCAGGCACCGCGGCTCTCATAGCCACTCCAAGCGCATTACTGAATCTATCCAGCTTTGAATGGATCTAGGTACCCAGATATTCACCTATAACTCTACCTTAGTACCTACTAAGGTAGCCCTCTTTCGTAGTAAACAACCATTCTTGAGGAGGCACATTTGCGCATGATTCTTCTATTAGACTCACTCTGATATAGTTATGTACATAAAGTAGATTGTCCTTGGTATTCCCTGGCAATCTCATCACCCAAATTAGCTACAATCTCCAGGTTTGTGGGCGAGATTTGCACCCCATTCAGCTACGGACGCTGTTTAGAGTATCCACCTTTCGCATCAACTAGCAGGGGCCTTAAACTCCCAGGTCTCTAGATGTGTTGATAGTAGAATACATCCCAAATGATCGATCCTATCGTGCCAGGTAATGCCACGGCACCTCTTTTGAAGTATTCACTAACAGACGGAGACATTGCACCGCCTTCCCTGTCATACTCATCTTGTTCCATTTGTCTTCATTTATTACACATGATTTCACGATCCAGACTGAGCCTGGATTCTCAATCTTCAATTCCTTTCTTCCACTGAGACGTCATCATTTCCTTGAGACAAATCAATTATGATGCCCGTCGGAGGCAAAGGTTACACAGCTGGCCTGTCAAGGGCGATAAATACTGTACACCTACGTAGGACAGAGTTCAGTCACGGATATGACAATCATTCAACCGAGCGAACACGAGCGTATCTCTAATGACATGAGTATCAAAACGAACTCGTTAATCGATATCAGGCCCAAGTGATTGAAGAATTAATTATCGAGTCACCAGGCACTCGAAGTCTCAAATCTTATTACTACTGACAATACGATACGACTTTTCTCGGCATCGAAACTTCCGGAGGCTCCGGGGATAACAAAGCCCAATGCTTCTTCTCCCTTAACAGATATTTCTATTATCATTCCACTTCACGCACTCGCTTCCCTTTCCTTTTTCATATATCTCCTTAAGTATTTGGAGTCTCGGGCAACTGATATGCAACGCGGCTGTACCGTCGCCGGGGTCCCTGTGCTTCTTTTTTCTTTTTGTCTTTCCCCTTAACATGAGTCTCAAGACTTGAGACTCAAGTGATGTGCTGATCCCAACCTGCCCAGCCCTTCTTTATCTCAGCGGATTGTCACTCATACAAATGTGCTGGGGCACATGCCGCGGATAGATCCAAGGTTACGATCTTAAAATGGACTTTTTTTCTCGCACCGCCCTTTAACCGAAATTTGCCCCTGATTTGTTTTCATGCCATGTCGCAGTGGCCATGGGTTTGGTTATCTTTCAGTTTCACGGACTCAGTACGTCAATTGAGGCTGATCTTGATTATAATTATCACCCAGGTAATCAAAATAACGCACCAGAGCAGATTGGGCATGTCTA